ATCTGCTCCATTTCCTAAATTCCAGATTTACCCACAGGAATGAAGTAACCTGCCTGAGTAATACTTGATACTTCTAAAATGGTTATCATATCTTGGTTAACATTTTTGGCAGGCAATAGCAGGCACTGTATTTCTAGTTTAACCAGTAAAACTGGTAAATACAACATTATCAGTAACATCTTCAAGTAATACTGACTGTTATTGACTGCATCACTTGCTGGCAATATTCCTTGTAGGAAAAGGCAATCTATTGGCATGGCAATCTATTTATTTTATTCTTTCTTTTTTCTCTTAATTCTTTTGTTATAAAAACAGGATTCATTCTCACTTGACAACGTAATTAAATCATTGGACAAAAATAACGATGGAAGCGTCAGCTTTGATGAGTTTGTGATGCTTATAAAAAAGATAACTGGTACAGGACAGTAAGGCATCTGCAAGAATGAATATCACTGCTTTGAAGGAGAACAGCCCGGCGTTCATGCGTATTATACCTACATTTAAACCCACAGATTTGTTATGAATTTAAAACGTACAGAATAAAGATTTGACATAAAACAAAGTATATCTTGTATTGTGTTTCCTGCGTGTTCGCTAGCCACACCTTCCAGACAAGGCGTGTCACAATTAGTTCAGAACTACCCGTTTCTATTTCACGCTACATTTGAGAAAGTGTCATTTAACAAGCCCTGCTTTACCTGAGCTATTATTTTGACTTCTAGAGCAATTCAAATCAAACGATTTCTAAAACATACAAAAGGAAAGATGCATCATCCCATCTGAGGAATGTCCTCTAGTGCATATTGTCCAATTCTTCTCCCAGTTCAGTTTCATCATTCACAAAATTCAACACTCCATGCACTAAAAAGTTCATGTACTTTTTTTTACATGTATGTACTTTTTTAATTATGACTCTTGTAAATGGGAATACCTAAGCATATTCTGAGTGAGGAATAAGGAACTGAGTGATTGCCATTACAAATAAAACATTCATTACATTTATCTGGTGCAGTTTTAGCCTTTTAATTGCACAATTCCCTGTGACATACGTATTTTCCCACATGTAATTCATGGGCATTACTATTTACTTTAAGAGGAAATTAGTGAAAAAGGAGAGAAATGAGGAAAATGGAAATTGTGAAAAAAAAAATTGATTCAGTGGATTAGATATTAGTCCTACTAGAGAATTCTGGAATTTTGGACTAAATTTTAACACCAACATCATCCATTATCCTGGCAAATCAGTTAGATCTCAGAGTTACTTAAAGACTCAACTTAAAGCCTATCAAGTGCATCCAAGATCCCACAGTACAGTGGTTCCCATCCCCGAATTTCCCCTCCATTAAATGAGGAATAAAAAACTCCACACCAGTGATGCATTAATTGCAGCCTCAAAAATGATGACATTTAAACATGATATGAATGTTCTAACAGACTCCTGGGCCATTTTTTTACACAAACCCTTCAGTTGTTAAAAGATATTATGCTTGTTGGAAGAAAAGAAAATCATAATATTTATTACTTTTTTCTGGTTTAGGAAAAAAAATATTGTAAATTTTCAATATGCTTTGATTTCAAAACTAAATAGACTCCACACATATTTGCTTACTAAGCTACGTTAGCTATTTTACACACATCAGTAAAACCACAGAATTTTAAGAGATGCTTTTGCATAAGTGGGACATACGTTCCTTTTCACTTCTTAGACAACCTTGGAATTTTTTTAATTCAATCAGGTTACTGACATCCTACTGAATAGGAAAAGTGGACATAAAGAAATAAACATGTTATAAGAGTGTCACCTACTGGCAAAATCTATTTCTGCACAATTTTTTGAATTCATAGAAAATGCACCTATTTTTACCCAGTGCAATATCTAAAGTTTCATGATCCTACACAAGATGCAATAGATCATAAAGAACAATGGTCACAATTAAAAGAAGCTTTTTTAAATTTTAAAAAAAAATTGTTTCTGGAAAGAGATGTGGTTTTTTCTAGAACAGTATTAGATATAGTTGTAATAAAGTTGAGAGAGAACATAATTAAAAGGCTCATCCAAATAAAAAAAAATCTAAGTTTAATAGTAGAGGAAGACTAGGGAAATGGAACAAAACAAATAACTCTTTTGCCATCCAATAAATCCAGTTCATTAGCAGTTCACAGACGATACAGTTTCCCTTTAAAGGAGCTCATTTTAAAACTATCATTCGCAACAGAAAGCTCATACTAAGCACTACTCAAGCAAATGCATTACTTTTCCGAACAGCTATCTTCCTGCAAAGAACAATAACAATTTACCTATCATTATTATCCAAAAGGCTAGAAAGTCAAGCAGAAAGCCTAAGAAAACATAACGGAAATGTGACCTGCAAATAATCAACGTAAGATTGGCTGCGATCAGTGTTCATGTACCTCCCACACTTTCCATACTGAAGTCAAACCTATGCTAAAGAAGCATTGAAGCCAAAACCTTAAGGTGGTATTTTGATAGTGTAAATGGTATGGTCTGGTGAATACAGGTAACTGCCATACCAGAGGTCTTTTTTTTTTTTTTTGATTCAGAGTACACATTTTTAATTTAAGCCTAAATGAAAATATCTAATAGCAACTTCAAATCTCTCAAACGCAGCTTATAAATCACAGCTTATTAATATTTTCACATTCTAGGTCTCATTTTCTTTAAGTTTTCAACACAGAGATATTCAGCTTTAGGAATATTTTCTTCCCCTACAGTATTTTCAAAACACAACTTTGGTTGTTTCACATCATTAAGTCATTAACTTCCATTTTTGGTATGAAGAGACTACTATTTTTTCCAAGGTATTTGATATCTTTACAATACTTGCAGTCATTTACATGCCAATATAATTGATATCGATATTCCAGCAAACAAGCAATACAGGGTTATCCAGGGTTTCTCTCCTATGTAAAATTACTCCTGTGTGCTTTTGCAGAACCCAGGTTCAGCAACATTGTTGCAATGACAGTCAGCAGAAATAGGTGAAATGATAAAATGAAACAGATATTCAGCATTGCAGCCAACTCCCTGCATTTGCTTGTGCATTCGTTTTTGTTCAAAACAGAACAAGCCACCATTGCCTCATCATATAAAAGCCTTTTACAACTGTCAAACTTTTTACTAATGCAGACAACGCTCTTCAATAGTGCAACAACTAGTGCTATTTTAACTGAGAGACAGTTGCCAGTAACATCATTTCTCATTATTTCAGAGACCTGTTTTTCCTTTGGAAGCCTAATTCTGAGTGATGATTACTTAACAAGCTCAGGTTTTATTTCCAATAAAAAAAGGTTCACATTTCCATAGATGCAGACAACAGGAAAGCAAAGGAGACCAAGATATTTTGTATGCACTTTAGATGAAACTATCAACTTAGGTGAGTACAGTTCTGCATATTCAAATGTGTAGCAAATTAAGAAGGGATGTAAGCGGCTGCATAGTTTATGGTTGCCCCTGAGCTCCTCTGCCAAACTACATTTTTGAACTTCTGTCTTTTTTCCTTTTTCTTAAAAATAAAAAGAAATAGAACTACTGCCTCACCAGTGCCTTTCTTCTCCCTTTTCAGTTTCCAAAGGAGCAGGAACCAAAAGAAAAGTACACTTTGGTCCTAAGTTAGTGCTCAGTTGAACCTCACAGTGGCATCACAAGATATTATCAGTGCTGATATGGTGTTTCCAATTAACTTTCTTGGACAATGAAACGTCTACATCAGGTAGTTCACAAGCTTCACCAATCTGCTTCTCTTCCTATCATTTTTATTGATTTGTTATTATATAGAATATCTAAACAGTTTTTAGCACAAGATGGCCTCTGCTAAGACAGATTATTTAGCAGTTATAATTATTGATAGTGCAAATTTTCCCCTTGGAATGATTTACATCTGTTTCTCACCCAGAATTGAGATGTCAAAGATCAGATTAAGATGCTGAAATATGACTGGTAATAACCAATTTCAGAAACTTAATGTAGCTCAGAACAAAGGAATATCCATTATATGTACTGTAAGCACACTGCTTCAATTGTAAACACTGTATTAATCTCCTGTGACACGTAACATTAACTGCATTATTTTCTTAATTTTACGTCCACATAATTTTCTCTTTAATATATATATCTTACTTGCCCTTGAATGCAAACTGCAAATCACTCAGTTCATTACTTGTGGAATAAAATTTTGTCCTAGATGTATTGTACTAATACACACTCCAATTTCTGTAATAGAAGAAACTGCTGGTAGGGCTGCAGCAGACAAACATCCATGTTCCTGACCAGTTAAGTGTGGAGCTCTGCACTGGCGCCAGCTATTCTGAACTTAGAATAATGGTCGAGGGAGGTAATTCTGCCCCTCTGCTCCACTCTGGTGTGACCCCACCTGGAATACTGCATCCAGCCCCGGGGCCCTCAACATAAGAAGGACATGGACCTGTTGGAGCGAGTCCAGCGGAGGGCCACGGAGATGATTCTACCATTCCACAGTTCTACCATTGGCATATGATACAGAGAACCCTGTCACATCTACAGAATTGAAATTTTTCTCTAAAGGAGGACTGTGAGATGCATAGGAAAGCATGGGTGTAATAGTTATTTATACTATTTATATAAAAGAAAACCAAGAATTTTTCAACAGCTTTCCCTATAATCCTTATCTTGTTATATAAATTTGTATTTTTATAATAGCTTTGTGCTACACTTTCTAGCTTCCCTTTATATTTTATTCTCTAGTAAAGCCAACCTAATCATTTTTGTCTACTCCTAGAATCAGTCTACAGCAAAGGAAACTATTAGAAAAATTACAAAAATAAAGCTAAGGCAAATCACAGAAGGCAAGGGACTATGAAAAGAAAACACGTTTTTAAACAACATCAATAGGGACAGCAGACATCTCTTCTAGCATGTAAAAATATATATAGACCTTTACTCTCCCTTTTTAACAAAAAGATTTATGCTCACAAAACATATGCAGAAAAAAATCAGTACTTACAACGGGGTTTTTTGTGTCTGGGTCAAATTCTGTAGAATTTGCATCTGAAACAGGAGTTCAAAACAAACACAGTACATTTCCATTGTTCTACCTGCACTATAGACTCATCATAGCAGTTCTGAGGCATTTTAGGGCTTGTCTGCATTTAAGCTACCATCTTGTATATTGAAACACATACTGCTCCATTTTTGAAGCAACCACAGGAAGCATATGACCTCAGTCACACACATTCCCTTTCCTACCTCCAAAAACCTTTTCCTTTCCGCTCTTAGTGGTAGAAATTAATTGGTGAGCTAAATCTCTTCAGACTGCTACTGCAATGGCTACGGTTTGGCTACTACAACTAATGAAAGCAAGTGAGAAAACCGCTTCTCACTTTTTACTCCTCACCACGTGCACACTCCAGGAAGAGACTAGAGAGGTGAACTGTAAGCATGCTTTCTCCTACCCTCCTTAGATCAAGAAGCAAGTTTCAAGCAATCTGCATAATAAGAATTCCTAATGCCTTGTACATAAAGGAAGCACAGGGTGCTTAGCTGAAAACGATCATGTTGCATCAGCTAAGTACCTAATGATCATAGGATCTATACAACAGTTCTAATAATAGATACATATTTCACATAGAGAATAAAATTTCTTCTAAGCAATCATACTCACACTAGCATACTGAGCTCACCTTTCCAATTCAAACAGTTTCTTGCAAATTCCACAACTGCTAATTGCATTCCCAGGCAAACTCCTAGAACAGAAAACAAAACCTCCAGAATTTAACAGGACAAAGAGTAGGACTGACAAAGTACTTGCTGTTCTGTCTTAAACTTGACTGCTCAGAAATCTTGGTACCCAGTGTACATACACAGACTTACCCAAAATGTAAAGCAAAAAAGGCTACTCAACGTAAAACTCACTCTTCAAAACTTGGCACAATGTAACTACATGTGGCACAATTATGTGCTTTTAAGCCCTTTTTTTCCTCCCATCTATTGTACCAATAAATAAAAAAAAAAAAGACAAACAGAAGCTGAGAGCCTGCATGTATCCAGATTAAAATTTTGCTTTGGCAACTAGTCACAATAGTCACTTATAAAATTGTAAGAAATGTGGAGTAGGAACCAAAGCTTCAGAGGCACTTACACAAACAGCACTTAACTGATAGGCCAGATGGCATCTTTAGACTTTGCCATAATAAAATATACCAGTAAATCAACAAAAATTCTTTAATATAGTAAGTGTGTCCAAAGACACCTATGTTCTCTGCACACTGATTAATATCTGTAATGATGCTGGTTTAACTACAATGTGAAGCAAAGACTCTCCACATAAAATGTGAATACAGCAAATAAAACCTTTGGAATAGAGATGGTCTTTTTCTTCCTTCCTTATATAGCAGATGTAGTACATGACTATGACTCTGGGCATTACTTACAAGGCAAATATTCACAGCACACATACTCCCCTAAGACAAGATCCTTCCCTAGTGTGCACTTGTCGTTTTTTTTTAAATTGAATCAATTAGCTTGCTGTACACCTCCAAACCACAATAATTTCTGAGTCTAATGATCTTACCAAGAAAAGGTTTTTTCTTTGTCCTTGCCCAAGAGATAGCTTGGAGTTTGCCTTCTGTTCCCCTAATTCCGAAGCCTCCTGGGACCAGAATGCCACTGTAATGAATGACAGCCATACATAAAGTAACCAACATGTAGAATCAAGCCAGTAAAGGAAGTCCATACAAATTGAAGAAAGACATTTTAGGTTATAACAAAGCAAGCACAATGTACAAAAGGCATATTTTGTATGACCACGCAGAATACACAGAATTTAACTCTAAATTTGGAGATTTGTCTCATCTACCCACCCCAATTGTCATCTGACCAACCTCGTGCTTCACAGAAATTCCTACTGCTTAAATACATATTGCATAAAAAAACTAGCTACATATTCACTACTCTAGGATCTTAACACAAAAACTTCATGTCTAGTAAGTAATACTGAAGGAATGAATGCATTTTGTCAATAAACAACATATCTTTACAAATACAAATTGAAATACCGTCAATTATTCTTAACAGAGACGTTTTCTGAGTCACCAGCATTTATTAAGCTTTTATCTAACTACCTTTCACTATGATGCACGCTTACAAAGAAAAATCTTTGACAACTGACCTGCGTTGTAAGGAAAGTCTAGCTATCAAAAAAAAAAATGGCAAAAAAGGCAAAAAATCCCAAACAACCAACTGCAACTTGTCTAAAGAGATTAAAGCATAGTTTGAGGATTTAGGTTGATACTGTAATTTGCTATGTCTGAGGCTTGTCACCAACCATGCACATCTACCCCTATACGTATGTAACAAAAGTTTGGATGCACTGAGAAATTACTTACTGAAGTATTTTTCATCACATGAAATAAATACCCCAGGCTGCATTTGGGATATAGAATACCCAACGCCACTTACTCTGCTTTGCACAGTTTCTGCCACGCCTGGTGATATTTCACTGAGTTCTCCACTTCTGTAGAATGTTCAAGTTCTGTTGAATCTATATACTGATAAAAAAATATGCAATAAAATAGTCATTTCTTCCACAGAAAAGAGCAGCATACACTATATAACAAACTTTTAATAGCATTAGGACAAACCTATTAGAGTTTCAAGTTAATTTCCCAATAAACCCATAAAAACTTCACTGAAGATGCAGAATTTGGCCTAGTTGCAGTAATCCATGCACCTCCCTTTGCACGTAGCTTCCAAGCTCTGTCTGCCTCCAGTCTCATTTTGCTACCCTCCAGGTAAGGAGACTTGGTAGAATCTCCATAGCTCTGTACCCAGGTTTTCTTCCTATGGAAATCTGAGCAGCAGTCAAGGGCTGGTGCTGACCTTACCCTTATCTCATCCAAATGAGATGTGGCCAGTCTGTTCACTTTCCTAGCTTTTGTGTGCCACAGCTTATCTAATCTTATCACGGACTGGATAAACCTGCCTTGTCTAGCCTGTGAGAAAGGCATTCCTGGGGACTGACGTGAAACCATCGGCTGTAGAGAGGGAGGCAGACTCATTATGTACGTCCTACTAGAAATAACAGAATCACAGAATGATAGGTGATAGGGGCTTGGAAGGGGCCTCTGGAGATCATCTAGTCCAACCTCCCTGCCAAAGCAGGTCCACCAAGAGCAGGTTGCACAGGAACATGTCCAGGAAGGTTTTGAATGTCTCCAGAGACAAAGATTCCACCACCTCTCTGAGCAGCCTGTTCCAGTGCTCTGCCACCCTCAAAGTAAAGAAGTTCCTCATGTTTAGATGGAACTTATTATGTTCAAGTTTGCGCCCATTACCTCTTGTTCTGTCACTGGGCAACACTGACAAAAGACTGGCCTCTTCCTCTTGACACCCACCCTTGAAGTATTTATAAGCGTTGATCAGACCCCCCTCAGTTTTCTCTTCTCCAGGCTAAAAAGATCCAAGTCCCTCAGCTTTTCCTTGTAAGAGAGAGGTTCTAGTCCCCTAATCACCTCTGTAGCCCTTTGCTGTACCCTCTCCAGGAGTTCCCTGTCCTTCTTGAACTGGGGAGCCCAGAACTGGACACAGTACTCCAGATGTGGCCTCACCAGGGCAAAGTAGAGGGGGACAATGACCTCCCTCAACCTGCTGGCCACGCTCTTTTTGGTGCACTGCAGGATGCCATGGGCCTTCTTGGCCACAAGGGCACATTGCTGGCTCATGGTCATCCTGTTGTCCACCAGGACTCCTAGGTCTTTTCCTTAGAGCTGCCTTCCAGCAGGTCAGCCCCCAACCTGTACTGGTGCAGGGGGTTATTTCTCCCCAGGTGCAGCACCCTACACTTGCCCTTGTTGAATTTCATCAGGTTCCTCTCTGCCCAACACTCCAGCCTGTCCAGGTCTCACAGTATGGCAGCACAGCCTTCTGGTGTTTTGTATCACCAGCAAACTTGCTGAGGGTACACTCCATCCCTTCATCCAGGTCATTGATGAATATATTGAAGAGGAATGGACCCAATACTGACCCCTGGGGAACACTACTTGTTAAGGACCTCCAAATAGATTCTGTGCCACTAATCACGACACTCTGAGCTCTGTCTTTCAGTCAGTTTTCAATCCACCTCACTGTCCATTCATCTAACCTGTACTTCCAAAGCTTACCTATGAGGATGTTGTGGGAGACTGTGTCAAAACCCTTGCTGAAATCAAGGTAGACAACATCCACCACACTCCCCTCATCTCTCCATCCAGTCATGCCATTGTAGAATGCTATCAGGTTAGTCAGACATGATTTCCCCTTGGTGAATCCATGTTGACTACTTCTGATAGCTTTCTTTTCCTCCATATGCTCTGAGATGGCACCCAAAACGAGCTGTTACATTGTCTTTCCAGGGTCTGACCAGCCTGTAGCTTCCCAGGTTCTCCTTCTTGCCCTTTCTGAAGACTCAGATAACATTGGCTTTCCTCCAGTCCTCCAGCATCCGGCCTGGTCTCCAGAACCTTTCAAAGATGATGGAAAGCAGCCCAGCAATGACTTCTGCCACCTCCCTCAGCACTTGTGGGTGCATCCCATCGGGACCCACAGACTTGCGGATATCCAGTTTACTTAACTGTTCTCTAACTTGATCTTCCTCAACCAAGGGGAAGTCTTCCTTTGTCCAGAATTTCTCTGTTACCTCTGAAGTCTGGGACTCCTGAGGGCTGGCCTGAGCAGTAAAGACTGAAGCAAAGAAGGCATTCAGCAATTCCACCTTCTCTGCATCCCCTTGTCTCCACAGGACTCGTCTCATTCAACAGTGGGCCCACATTTTCTCTAGTTTTTCTTTTGCCTCCAATATACTTGAAAAAAAAACCCCTTTCTTGTTGATTGACATCCTTTGCCATACTGCATTAGAATCTCTACTGCCATTAACAAGTACTGTAGAATGCTATCAGGTTAGTCAGACATGATTTCCCCTTGGTGAATCCATGTTGACTACTTCTGATAGCTTTCTTTTCCTCCATATGCTCTGAGATGGCACCCAAAACGAGCTGTTACATTGTCTTTCCAGGGTCTGACCAGCCTGTAGCTTCCCAGGTTCTCCTTCTTGCCCTTTCTGAAGACTCAGATAACATTGGCTTTCCTCCAGTCCTCCAGCATCCGGCCTGGTCTCCAGAACCTTTCAAAGATGATGGAAAGCAGCCCAGCAATGACTTCTGCCACCTCCCTCAGCACTTGTGGGTGCATCCCATCGGGACCCACAGACTTGCGGATATCCAGTTTACTTAACTGTTCTCTAACTTGATCTTCCTCAACCAAGGGGAAGTCTTCCTTTGTCCAGAATTTCTCTGTTACCTCTGAAGTCTGGGACTCCTGAGGGCTGGCCTGAGCAGTAAAGACTGAAGCAAAGAAGGCATTCAGCAATTCCACCTTCTCTGCATCCCCTTGTCTCCACAGGACTCGTCTCATTCAACAGTGGGCCCACATTTTCTCTAGTTTTTCTTTTGCCTCCAATATACTTGAAAAAAAAACCCCTTTCTTGTTGATTGACATCCTTTGCCATACTGCATTAGAATCTCTACTGCCATTAACAAGTACAGCTCCTGAGGTACCTCTAGAGCAAATGAGTGAGGCTGCTATATACTGCACTTGGGACACAAAACACGAGAGTTTGATTCTTGGTTTTGTCAGTCTTTTTCTCAGGATAACGTAATTAATAACATGCTGCTGTAGAGTCCATCCCCCATAAAAACAAAATCATCTGAAATGACAGAATTCCTCTGTGTGCAGAGGAGTGAAACCAACAAGATGATTGCTAAAAGTTTTACAGATAGGACTGTGTTCTAGCAAACATTTTCTACTTTTTCCATGCTCCAGAAGTCATCAACATAGAACAGAAAAATAACTTCTTATGAATGTTGTTATTCTATACTAGTAGGATGCTATCGGATAAACTAAAAGGACACTTTATCATGCTGGGAGGTTGGAAAGAGAAACTAATTACAGCTGAAGTTAATTGTGGTTTCCTTGCCAAACATATTGAGCCAGCATATTTATCACCTCAAGCAGCATCAACATTTCATCATTCAGATATAGGGATTGTAGGTTATGAGCTGGGTGCCACATGCAATATTAAGCAGCTCCTTGAGAACACAGGATTATATGGAGAGCCCTTGGACAAAAACACTGAAAAGGAGGTTAGCACATGCAGGTAAATACACTAGGAGCCCTTGTCTGTTAACATTTCAGCGCTGTGCTGGAGCTCCAGTAATCATCAATTTACATGCTTGTTAATGCAAAAGCTCCACTGAACTGAAGACTAGCTGCACACAAAGCTAACCACGCATTTGCAGACTTGGCGCCTTTCACTTTGTTGCTAAAAGCAAAGTTATTTTACATATAATAAAAATTTCTCACTGCATAGCTGACAGTATAAAAGAGTATTTAGAGTGACTGAATCATGTAGGTTGGAAAGGGCTTTGGGAGGTCTCTAGCCCAACCACCTGCTCAAAGCAGGTCAAATTAGAGCAGGTTGCTCAGGGCCACTTCCAGTCAAGATATGAAAATCTCCAGGGACTAACTCTGGCTGTTCCCACTTTCTTGGTTTTTGTGCACACAGAAACAACTTTGTGGAGTATTTGCCACATAATCTTCCCAGGGAATGAGGTGAGGGTAACTACCTGCCATTTCCCTAGATCCCCCTTTTTGCCTTTTTTGAAGATTGGTGTGACATTTGCCCTTTTCTAGTCATAAAGAACTTCCCCAGTTGCCACGACCTTTCAAGCTGATGGAACACTGGCTTCACAATGACACCTCAGCTCCCTCAGGATGCATTTGTCTGGTCTCATGGACTTGCGTATGTCCAATTGGTCTGGGTACTTTGCAACTGTATGTGTATGTATATCATGGAAGAAAACTTATCGTGGAAGAAATCTTATCTGTTTCCTACAAATAGATTTATTTTCTTTTTTTTTCCCTCCATGATACCTCCTCAAGGCCCTTTCCTTTCAAGGGAAAGGAGAGAGCTTAAGCCTTAAAAACATACACTATTTCTTCCCTAAGATGAGTTTCTGATGGTTGGTTTGGGGTGGTTTTTTTTTTTTTATATTTTCCCTGATACCTACCAATTGGCATCTTAGGCACCTAAACACATACAGTTTACTTGAATTCTGCTAAGTCTTTGTAATTTCAGAGATACTTTTTAGCAGTGAACACTATATATAAGTTACTTAGTATGTAGAAATATATTTCCTCTTATTAAACGTGAAGTTTAATATGAAGTTTAATATTAAACGTGAAGTGTTTTCTTAAGTTGTTCCCTAGCTGCTTTACATGATAGGTAGCAACCAGATCTTTGTTTCTATACTATTCATCATTTGGCATACCTCACAGAGGACAAGAGTAGAAGGACGATAAGATCAGCTTCTGAGCTTTTTCCTTTTCTCATGATAGGAAGTGCCTCTTCCCCCTCCCCAGACACTAAATCAACCCACTTCTCTTAGTAAAGAACCCCTACAGAAAAAAATAGTTCAGATTTGCTTTTGTTTGTGCATCTCTGCATGCCTCCCCTACTTGAAAAGGTTCTGGGATGAAATCAACAATGAGAAGCAAAAGATGAAGGATTTGCAGCTGATTGATGTGCTTGACGAGGGGCAGAATGATGCTGTGAGAAAACAACAGGGTGATTTCAAAGCCCACAGCAGCGCCAGCCATGGTGAAAAGTACGTGCTACATCACCACAAGCTGCTGCAACTGCTTCACCATCTGATTAATAGACCATCAGAACCAAGCAGCGATGGGAGGGTAGAAAACATGATTGTGTTATGTTGGTACAGGGCTAGTCACCTTCTCCACCAAGTCACTGAAAAGAAAACACCTGAGGTGATAAATTCCTGGTAACCAGTGTTCTACAACAGAAGTATGTTACCAGAAACTCATACCCAGTTGACTGAGGGTGGGCAAAACCTTGGAAGGGGACATAGCCAGGACAGCTGACCGAAACTGACCAAATGGATATTCCATACCATATGACATCTACTCAGCAACAAAAGCTGAGAAAAGGAGGGGGGACATTCATTATTACCACGTTTGTATTCCAGAGCAACCACTACATGTACTGAAGCCCTGCTTCCCAGGAAGTGGCTGAAAATCAGCTGCTGATGGGAAGCAGAGAATAAATCTTTCATTTTCCTTCACTTCTGCACATGGGCCTTTGCTTTTGCTTTATTACAGTGCCTTTATCCAGACTCAAGAATGATTGTAGGGAATTTCTGTTTTAATTGCAGTGGAGGGACGAGGGGTGCATTGTATGTAAATTGTCCACTTTCTTTCAGTGTTGTGATGATATTGCTTTGATGGCAGTGCAGGGAATTACTTTTGTTGATGTGAATGAATATTGCAAGGATTGTGTAGCGAATGTGAATTTTAATGATACTACTTAAATATGTGATTCACAGAGGTGAGGGGCGGAATGTATCCAGTTTGCATGGCAAGCGTTTGGTAGCAGGGGAGGCTACAGGGGTGGCTTCTGTGAGAAGCTGCTAGAAGCTTCCTCCATTTCTGACAGAGCCAATGCCAGCTGACTCCAAGATGGACCTGCTGCTGGCCAAGGCTGAGCCCATCAGCGATAGTGGTATCACCTGTGTGATAATGTATTTAAGAAGGGGGGGAAAAAAAGCCTGTTGCAGAACAGTAGCTGGGAGAGAGGAGTTAGAATATGTGAGAGAAACAACTCTGCAGACACCAAGGTCATTGAAAAAGGAGGGGGAGGAGGAGCTTCAGGCCCAGAGCAGAGATTCCCTACAGCCGATGGTGAAGACCACGGTGAGGCAGGCTGTCCTCAGGCAGCCCATGGAGGTCTATGGTAGGGCAGATATTTACCTGCATCCCATAGAGGACCCCACACCAGAGCAGGTGGACGCACCCGAGGAGGCTGTGACCCCATGGCAAGGGGGCAACTTTGCTGGCAGGACCTGTGACCCTGCAGGGGACCCACGCTGGAGCAGTTTGTTCCTGAAGGTCTGTTCCCTGTGAAAGGGACCCACCCTGGAGCAGTTCATGACAAACTGCAGGCCATGAGGAGACCCACGGTGGAGAAGTTCACGGAGTACTCTCTCCCATGTGAGGGATACTATGCTGGAGCAGGAGAAGAGTGTGAGTCCTCCTCCCCCTGAGGAGGAAGGAGTAGCAGAAACAATTTGTGATGAACTGACTGCAACCCCCATTCCCTGTCCCCCTGTGCTGCTGGGAGGTAGGAGGCAGAGGAAATTGAGAGTGAAGTTTAGCCTGGGAAGAAGGGAGGGGTGGGAGGTGTTTTTAAGATTTGGTTTTATCTCTCATTAGTGTACTCTGAAATGATTGGCAATAAATTAATTTCCCCAAGGCAAGTTTATTTTGCCTGTGACAGTAATTGGCAAGTGATCTTTCCCTGTCCTTATTTCAACCCAAGAGTCTTTTGTAGTATTTTCTCTCCCCTGTTCAGCTGAGGAGAAGGGGGAGTGACAGAGTGGCTTGGTGGTCACCTGGCATCCAGACAGGGTCAACCCACCACACTCTGTAAATAGGACTCCCATGTATTCATTACTCTGTGCTTCATTAAAGAATCCTGGTTGTTCTAGGTGCTCCCATTGCTTCCTCCTGGGGTAGATGACTGCGGCCACATCTTTGGCCTGCTGCCTTTAGCAACCTGGTTAAGTCATCCTGGATATTAATGACCTTCCTTGTCAAGAAGTGGTTAGTTCCAGTGACAAACTTTCTAGAGCTGAGTGGAAACAGCCTGGTTTCATTGCACAAGCATTATCTTAGCAACCTATCCATAGCTTTTGACACACTGAAATTTTTACTCTGCTATCTTCTGGGTTTTATATCATGAAAGGGAATAATCAACAAAGGTCACAGGGTTCAGCAATTTTCAGCAGTTACCAAAGTGCATAAACACACGCACTTGCTTCGATCAGAGATTGGCAGAGATCAAAACCTACTGAGTGCGGTACAGCCTGCAACTGCCCACTTTGATCAATTTATTTTATATCATTTAATGAATCACTCTAAAGCAGTGTGTTGTTGCTGACACTTTGCAACCATTTATTACTTTCTTGCTACTGCAAGTTGCTAAAATGTCCTCTGTATCCATTAAGTGGTAATAATACATACTTCCACACTGTTTCTCTGCCCCACGCTTTTCACCTCTAGAAACTGGTAGTTCCACCAGTGAGAAAGCTGGTTAACAGTTTTTCCCCATGTAGCTCAACTTTCTATTCTCATTAAAATGAGACAAGTTAGATCCCTAAATAGCCCTTTATCCAAGGAAATACTATCTTGGAGAAACTAAGTTCATGGCTAAAGTCTGATATCATTAGAATCGTGCCGAAAAGAAATTGGATGGGTCTCAGAATATTAACTGAAAGGAAGAGCAACGGCTTCTGGCACTGAATTTTAAAAAGAAACCGAACTGCTTTCCAACTTACCTATTTTCTCCTGTCTTCAAGCTTATCTCATTAACATGATAAGCAGTCTCATGAGAACAAGTGAAACCAACCTTTGATAGTAAATATAAATTTGCAGGGAAGTCTGCTTTTTTATCAGATCCTGTTTTCCGTAATTGCAGGATTCCTTTCAGGTAAGTTTAGTTCCAAATAAAATAAATAAACCTGTAAACACTACTGAAAAGAAATGAGATGCCAGTCTGTATTTATCTGCATGATTCGTTTTCTCATTCCCACACAAATTAAAACAGCCTCACATGATGGGTACTAGTAGAGTATACTCAAAATATTCCTGAAAGCAGAATCCAGAAGTGTCCTCACCATTAAATCCAGTTTGTGATTAATTGCCAGCGCAGAGTGTTCCAGAGCCTTGAAGACAGATGCATAGCAATCACTTAGTTTTGTATACTTGCCAACGAGAGCTATGGAACACACCTTCAGCAACCTATCGTACCTGATAAAAAAAAAAAGTTTTTTGGTTATTACACCAATTTTCACAAAGAAAACATTTTAGCACTGTTGGTTTTTTCTTTAACTTCACAAAACACGTTCTAAAATATCAAAACTGACAATGTTTTTAAACCCAGACCATTCACAGGTGTTGATCAGCAGCATGCTACTGAACCCAGTCCAATTTGGTGACTTCACAGCAGCTAAAAACCTAACTTGAATTAAAACACTTCTAGAAAAAGCAGTAGGAGTTAGAATACCTGTCAGCCATTTTCTTCCATCTCATTAGAAGATCACTTGGCTGATCATCAATAGGAAGATCCAACCTCTGTTTAAAATACTTAATGATGCCTTGCTCCTCCAACAGAATTGGTACTCGATAAGTGGAAGAAACATCATGGATAAATATCACCTAGCAAAAAAAAGCATAACATGAAAGGCTTACCTAAATATTTTTCATAGGAAACATACATCCTATTTTTTTTCTATACTACATACACTACATGTATTCTAATTTTTAAATACTTTCCTTTTGAATGAGCAGGGCAGCAAAGCCCACATTTAATGTTCCACTAAATCTACAATGAAAAAGTAGGTATAAAAAAGGTAAAAACATGCTTCACTTCTACATCACACCATCATACAAAAATAACTTGTCAAGCCTACCAACGCATCAGATTTAATATAAACATCTGGCCCCACAAGCAGTCATGTTTACTAATGCTTCTTTCTCCCTGTCTCAAACAAACTTGAAGAATATCAACCCGGAAAGAAAGAACACAAATGAAAACTAACAAAACAGACCCAATTAGGTTGTGATAAAGGAGTTTTCTTAGTGAGTTAGCTTATGCAATAATTAATAAGCATTGTCCATTCAAGGACCATTTAGTTAAGAACACATTTATAATCCACATCCAAACTGCTGCCACTTGGCTTACACAAGACTGCAGAGTTCACAATCCTGAGCACAAGTGTTCTCTTCCCTGATATGCATGAGAAGTAAAGGACACTTGCTTAGTCATCCTTGAGTGTTCATCACATAAGTATGTACACATGCATGCCGCCCCGTGGCTCTCAACAGTACCCACTCAACAGTCACACATGGGATTCTTGATCCAGTTAAGACTGGCTTAATAACTGCAGTTGGAATCTGAGCCTGTACACGCTTACACATGGCCTGATACTGCCAGAAAAAGCACACCCCATCTTCATTTGATTGAACATCCAGTTGTCTCTCTCTAGCTGGAGACGAAACACAAAGGCATTTCTGAAGGCTCTTCCAGAAGCTAGCTCAAGGTTGTTGTCTTCCATGGAAGTAAGGGGGAGAAGTTAACAGCCACACTGCCCTCTATATCCTCATCAGAAATCTTACTATAAAAAACTTTTTCATTCACACTGCAGAGAGGGAGGGCAACACTGATACATATCTGAAAAACAGCGTAACTACTGCATCTATTACCCCTTTAATATCTTCCATTATATTGAAGAGTAAAATGCTCTCACTTTCAAAAATATTAAAGAGCATTTGATTTATCAAAATTAGTATTTGAAGATCAATTAATCATAGAAACTAATGCCAAAAGTCAAATGTGAATTATAAAAGGACATATAACTACACAGTAGATGTTCTAAGCATGTTAAAAGGCATGAATAGCCTATTGCATACTACCACCGTCAGAGTGTTCATGTGGCTGTGATGATCTATGGACATAAGCAAAACCCCTATCTATAACCAAGCTTTGTTCACAGATTATTATAACCACCTGAGATGATTTATGGACAATAACCAACCATAGATTGAAACTGGAATCCAGTTTTGGGCCCCTTACCACAAAAAAAGACACTGAGGTGCTGGAGTGGGTCCAGAGAAAGGCAATGAAGCTGGTGAGGGGTCTGGAGATGAAGTCTAATGAGGAGAGGCTGAGGGAGCTGGGGTTGTTCAGCCTGGAGAAGAGAAGGCTGAGAGGAGACCTTATCACTCTCTACAACTACCTGAAAGGAGGGTGTAGAGAGGTGGGGGTCGGTCTCTTCTTCCAAGTCATAGGCAATAGGACAAGAGGAAATGGCCTCAAGTTGCGCCAGGGGAGGTTCAGGCTGGATATCAGGAACAACTTTTACACTGAAAGGGTTATTAAGCATGGGAATGGGCTGCCCAAGGAAGTGGTTGATGCACCATCCCTGGAGGTATTTAAAAGACGGGTTGACATAGTGCTTAGTGAGATGGTTTAGTGATGGTTTTTTATCAGAGTTTAGTTGATTGTTGGACTAGATGATCTTAAAGGTCCCTTCCAACCTAGACAATTCTATGATATATAGCAATTAACCATGCACTCAAAATCTATTCCGTTTATTAATGTTAATGACCATTTGACATAAAATTTTACACATAAGCTCCCAATATTTTTAAAGTGTTACAGCGTACATCACAGCAAGAGAAAAATTGTAAAAACAATTACATATTAATGAAACAGTCTGAAGTTGAAAACAGAAAAGCACAGAGATATTTGTATGCTTTCCCACATGTTTAAATAATGACGAATAAAATATTAAACTACCGACCTGCTCAGGCTCCACATGGCAAAACATGGAAATCTTTTCCTTCACTGCCATTTCTATAGGTTTTGCACTTCTGCAGACAATCTGTCATAACAGAGGAAAAATCTTAAATATTTACAAGGCAAACCAATAGAAGAACCTCAGTACTGTTCATGGAGAAAGCACAAACAAATGTGCCTTTTTTTTCTCTTCCCCTCTTTTGGTGTTTACAATATATCATAGCTCACAAATATCTGCTAGCAAGGCAGAAGGAAATCAGTCACCTGCCCATACTGACCCACTCTTATTAATCTTTCTTTGACATTCTTTGTAACACTGCTTCCTCATGTTCTCCTTTTCTTGTAGCTACCATTGCAATATTCTTTACCTAAAGTCTAGCAGCTCTGTGAGTACAAATAATATGATGAAACAAAAGAAATATTGTGATTTTATCAGTTAAGTTTAGAGCAATAATACTTAGCTTATATGCATGTTTTGTACTATTTCAGTACTTCAGCACCTTTTCATAATTCTTAATTTGCACATCATGATAAAAAGGAGGAGGCTGAAGATGAGAAAACTACTTCATAATTTTGTGGGTTTTTTCTTGGTGCAATTATTCTGCTATTATTTTGCTGATACATGCAAAACTCAGTAATTTTACAAAATATTTATAATTTTTACCAATAAAGCAAATAAGCCTGTAATTTGGTGTTTGTTGGAAGGGATTTTTTGGCTTTATGTAACTTCAGGCAACTATTTCAAAATGCAGAACTGCTCTGTCAATGTGCCTATTGATTACTCAGTCTACTACCTTAAGTTATTTTGAATCCCAAAAGAATAACATAAAGTAGGATGATCCTGTTAAAAGATTAATGAATTCTTTTCCCTGTCTTTCTAGGAAATGCAACTACTTTACACATTAAGACCTTTTTTTGTTCAGAAACTTGTAGCTAATCTTTGATCACCTTGCTAGAATGCAGTTTAGCTACATTGATATTGATGAAGATTTATTAAATTCCCGTATCCTTGCAAGAAATCCGAGAAACAGAAAAACAATACTGAGTATAAGGGAAAAATAGTGCATATTCTAATTATCTAAAAAGAATTATGAAACGATTTGTGCATTCTATTCAATTAAGCACAACTTATACTTAAAAACTGGGTACTGTTTGAAGACATAACTCATACACCTTGACAGCATAAGCATATGATTAAATCCACTCAGAAATCTACCATCCATCTTGCCAAGACAAATTTAGAAGTCAATGGAGGCACAGAAATCAAAAACGTCAGAATCAGCATGAAAATACAAAACTACAGTAACAGTGGCAGAGATGCATCTCAAAGAAACAGAATAGAAAGGAGATGAGGAACAATTCAGTTGAATAGGGCAGCACTGACAAGCGTATAATCAGATTTCAAAATGCTGTAAGAGAGGCCATTAAATCTGCAGATATAGTGTATTCATTAAGTGCTTAGAACACCCCATGGAGAATAGATCCTGTCCCCACACAGCTGAGACTGGCCCAGCACGACACCTCGGGGAAGCCAGGGACCAGACAGCGAGGCACCGGGTATTAAGGACAGGTCCAGCCCAGTATAGACCAGGCAGCCTGGTCTAAACTCTTAAGAAGGAAGCCCTCCTGACGGCTCTTCTAGGAGCTTCCCCATGTTTTGTCTTGGCCTTGGGCCCCTGCCCAAGACAGCAACCATGCAAAGATTTTCTTGAAGCAGTGCCCAAGCAACTTTACAGCAGCGCCCGAGAGGCTTTGCTCGTCTCTCTATGCTTTAGTGGTCAACAGCAGCAGTTTGGGGGAAAGACAGACAGAAAGAGTACTGTGCTTCTGGCAGTGCCAGAACTGCCCCAGGCAAAAACACAAGATGTGAGAAAGTGACTAGATTAGTCTGTTTTCCTTTCACTCCACACACACATGCTTAACAGGCTTTTAAAAATTAATCTGGGGGGAACGGAGGGGAGGGGAAGAAATCAGGCACCGGCAATTATCTTAAAGGCCTTCAAAAATCACGTGCAACTTTAAATATGCAATTAGCACCTCTAGAGGGATTTTGAAATTTAGGCCCTGAAGCTTGGAATGTAGAGCAGCATTGCATTAATAAAAGTCTTTGCCTCCGCAAGCTGATTACAGTTACCAGGTCACAAGAATTTGAAGCAATCTAACACATCCTTCACATATCCTTTTTAAAAAGCCATTCATTTTGTAGTTGAAAAACATGCTTTTTGATAAATGTAAAATGCAAGAATTCAAAAAACAATTAGAAAGAAGCATATCACATAATTTAGTTGTGTGACTGTCCTTTTAAGAATAATTTTTCCCTTTTGAGGATATAAATATTGTACAGAAGCCATGACTATTCTCATTCCTCTTTCATTTCTGAAAAGGGTTAGGAAGCTTTTTCTCCCAGTAGACTTTATGGGAATGGAAAGTGCTCAACAACTCCCAGAATCAGCTATGGAAAATATTCTTTCACTTAACAAGCAGCCTCATGTGAAAGAGCAAAAATGTCCTTTTCTGTTCCTGAAGCAGACCTAGGAACAGAGTGTGTTTTCAGCTGCACCAGTTACAGCTCAGGAAGATATGAAGCATAAATTTGAACTGGAGTTGTACTGGCATTTGAAGCCGTGCTGGCCTGGCTTCACTGCTATCAACACTTGACCAAGCAGGTTAACATCTCCAATGGCAGACAGGTAGCTGCAATCTACTTATTTCTCCTCTCTGCTCCCAGGGAGGTAAACACTACATCCACATAATAAGCACATGGTCATTATCAGAGCACTGAGGAGAGAGAGAATGGAAGGAGTTGAGCACTTGTCATCATTTGCCAATTGGCACGAGGTGCAACTTGTTGGCTTTGGGTTCGCTATACTACGCAGTACAAGTCCAACACATGAAAGAAATGGAGGAACCTTACTTTGAAGATTCACCCACGTGTTTTATATATTTCCAAACAGGAATACTTTTAAAAGCTATACTTCAAAGGCAGGATTGCTTCTTCTTAATCATGCATGAAATTTCTGAGAGAATGTTAGAAGCCAGAAGCATTCTAGGTCTTCCCACAAAGCGAACTGAGACTTTAGATTATTTTTAGCAGTGCAGAATGACTTTCCGCAAAGATCCCTTTAGAAGAACATAGCTCACTGCCAAGATATTGCAAGAAGTTAGTTGAATTAAGTTAACTTAGAGTAAATTTGAGTAACTTGATTTCTTGTGGCTTTAGTGAAGCAATACAGCATATATGTTACCTCTTCTAAAATTCTTAACTCTCATGGGAGACTAAGGCTTATACTTTGAACACAGGTTACGCAAGGAGACTAGCAGATGACCTATAAATAGAAATCTGCATTTATTGACTCACCAAATCTGGAGACAAGCCTAGACCCCTCAGTGCTCGAACACTGTTCTGTGTCGGTTTTGTCTTCTGTTCGCCAGTGGCATTAGGCTGGAAAGACATATTTTGAAAGCTCAAATTGCAATTAACATCTACAAACAGAGCAGTTACAGGTTAAAAGAGAGAATTCGTTGCAAGTAATCATATTGCAGGAAATAAGCATATCCAAACAGAGACACAATACGCCAGAAACAGAAATGGCACCACTGTTATTACTTATGTAAGAAATTCTGTGAAGAAACCACATGGCCCTAACTCAGGTCAGGTTTATTTTGTTTTTTTCTTACAGAAGAAAAGTTTCAATATAATTGACTCAGGCGGGAGAAGAATAATATTCCAAAAATTGGATTTTCCTCACAAAAGGAGAACGTTCAACATAGCACAAAGCCTTCAGTGACTGTCCTTGGAAATAATCAGCTGTAATGAATAATTCTGTTCTCAAATACACAGAATCAATCCCACTGATTGCTGATCAATCCTCTCATCCATAGCTGCAATGGTTAATAATTCTCTTTTTATATATACAAGGTGCAATCATATCATCATTACCACCCTTGCTTACCAAAATCTCCCCAATGAATACCTGCCTTATAAAATAATAAGAAAACCTACTTGTGAAGTCAAACCCAGTCTGGAATGGAAAAATACTTTTAGCCCTATAGAAAAACTTGGTATTGACTGGAAGACCACTGCACGTCAAGGAGGTGAACCCTCTGTGGGTTCCATAGAGGAACCACAGTGGAAGCCCAGTCCTCTGGTGCACATATCCCTTGGCCACAAGACAAACCCACCCAGCTCCTTGTAAGAGAGGAACCTGCGGGGAGCTCCCACTTGGCACCTGCAGCTGAAGTTCTCCTGACAACATTCTTTCTGTTTGACAGTAAAAAACGACACAGTTGTTTCCTTGTAATATAATCATCTATTAGCTGAAATGACTGAAAGGGGAGACTCTTCTATGGATGTGGCCCAGAATGGAAAAAAACTTTTAGCCCTATACAAAAACTTGGTATTGACTGGAAGACCATTGCACGTCAAGGAGGTGAACCCTCTGTGGGTTCCACAGAGGAACCACAGTGGAAGCCCAGGCCGAAGGGGATGAAAGGGGAGACTCTTCTATGGATGTGGCCTGGAATGGAAAAATACTTTTAGCCCTATAGAAAAACTTGGTATTGACTGGAAGACCACTGCACGTCAAGGAGGTGAACCCTCTGTGGGTTCCACAGAGGAACCACAGTGGAAGCCCAGGCCTCTGGTGCACATATCCCTTGGCCACAAGACAAACCCACCCAGCTCCTTGTAAGATAGGAGCGTACGGGGAGCTCCCACTTGGCACCTGCAGCTGAAGTTCTCCTGACAACATTCTTTCTGTTTGACAGTAAAAAACGACACAGTTGTTTCCTTGTAATATAATCATCTGAAGGGGATGAAAGGGGAGACTCTTCTATGGATGTGGCCTGCCCAGCTTGCCACTTGCCAGGGCCATTCCGTGCCCACCTGAGGCTCCCACTACCTGGAGGGACCTAAGGTCCTTTATACCGTTCTCTCCTTACAGTGTTAGCTCTATTAAACAGAATTTTAAACCATACCTTACAGTCTTGAGTGCCTTTCTTACTGGGTTCATAATGTACCAGCACCCTCCAGTGCCAAGCACAACTCTATTTAGCCTTCTAGATAACTTGGTGCTGATATGGGGTTTTTTTCTTTTGTGACTTAGAATACTAAAACTGATTCTCACATCAATAAAGTAATCATCACGGCCTTTATTTACACCGGTGTGGCTGGGTTTCATATCTCTGTCTCTAAAACCCTCCAGCACAAAAGGGTTAATGTAAGTATAAAGCACCAATACAGAGTAAAATCTATTTTATTAATTTTAATAACTTACCTGTGGTACTAGACTAACATGGATATTACAGAAGTTCTCTCTCTTTGCTTTGAACTGAAACTGTCTAAATGCTTCAACAAATGGCATTCCTTCGATATCTCCAATGGTTCCACCCAGCTGAAAAACAAAACTTGGATATGTCAGAGAGGCAGAAAGCATAAACAAAAGAAAAAATATCTACCTCTTACTTAATCAACAAGTTTTCTGAAATTTTTATCTTAAAAATGCTCTAACAACTGAAATTTGCAGGCATGCTCTGCAGAGAACCCTCATCCATCCTGTGCATTTTATTTCCTGTGGCACATATGAAACAATTTTCTAGTTTTGTTATATTCACTTTATACCAGATACATAAACTACTGAATACATAATCTACTAAATAATACATGCTTTCACACTGCCTTTAAAGTGGTGAAAAAGCAATCAATAATTAAGCTGATGTGAAGGTTTTTGTACACAAAAACTTTATTTTCCTGCCTGTCAGATTAATCAACAGTTGTGGCCAACAAGATAAAGACATTTAGCAATATTATCATAGCTTTCCAACATCAATAAATGCCATATGGACAACATGAAATAATATTTCACATTATAAAAGACTTTAAATATTTATTGCCAAACCAAAACCCAAGCTTAAGTCCATGATAAAGCTTATTTATAATGACAGAAATTAGATGTCTTTCAAAGACACAAAGAGCTGTAGTACTGAACAAACCAGTGTTTGTATGTAAGTTTTATGGACTAGTTGTATTTCACAATGATCTTTCTATGCCACCAAGTGGCTTTTGACAGAATTGCATATTTGTGTTCACCCATTACCAGAAAAAACTTCAGATAACTACATTGATATGTGACACCCATATTCACCCTGTCTCCTTCAGGATTTTGCCACAGCAAAACATTACAATTATCACTGAAGTCCTGAAGAAAAATATTTTTACCTGGCTGTAGCTAGAGCAAAACAAACCCTTACATGGAGGAAAGAGAAAATTAAGTTTGAAGTTAAAGAACTGATAAGTCCATCACTTATTAATGTTCTTCTGCAACTTCTGTATTTACTGTTTTTACATTTGTTTCAAAATAAATGTTTGACTCTCACTGTGCACATAAAAAAGATCTAGAGCTATCCCAGTAAGTATATTTTAATCAAGGGAGATACTTCTGTGCAAAAAATACACAGCAATTTTGTGACCTGGGTCACGAGGTTTATCACACTATTGATTACAGTGGTCACTTCTGGCATTAAATCTATGCCATCTTCTTCTGTCAAATTCTCAGGTATAGTTTTTTTCTGTATTTCCCTCTGTAATAATAACAATAGCAATTACTGACTGCCTTTCCTTCAGTTGTCTCAATGCCCTGCTAAGGGTGGGTAAAACTCATTACTTCCATTGTGCAGAACATCAGTAGATTAAGCGATTAACAAAGTTGCCTCCAAAGATCTTAAAAATAACACCAGAAACTGGGAAACTAGCTTATACAGTGTTTAAATATATTCCTTTAAACATGACCACGAGCAACAAGATGGACATTTGAAGCTATATGGAAAGCTAGAATGTTACAGGCTCTCAGAACAAATCAAAGAATATAAAACATGTCTTTGCAGTGCTGCTCTCCATGAAATTTCAGTCTGACCTTTTCACGGGAAGTAGCAAAGAGGAAGCAAGCTGGTTCTTTGTATTCACTGCGGATATATATCCTAAAAAGGTTCCATACTTGCCTCAATCACACAAATTTGTGGCTCTCTTCTGTCATCATCCACCGGAACTTTTGCCTGATTCATTACCCATTCCTGAACCGCATCGGTGATGTGCGGAACAACTACAAGACAAAGCCAAAGAAGGCAAGTGTATCTTAACATTAGGCCCCCACACAAGTTTTTGCATGCAATAGGGAGAAAATGAGCAGAAAGTCAAAAGGAAACTATTAGCTCCTTTTTCTATTCCTCCTTTCCTTGAACCCAGAAGCCCTACATTACAGGAATATGCCCATATTTCTTGGGAAGGAGAAAGGAATATGATGATGCAGCAAGGAGCAGCTTATTCTAGCTGATCACTCTTTTATGAAGAAAATATCACCTTGATTTAAAAATTATTAAAAACATCACCTTGAACGGTTTTTCCCAGGTAATCACCATGTCTTTCTTTATTAATGACGTGCTGATATATCTTTCCAGTGGTGATGTTGTTATCTTTATAGAGATTGATGTCCAAAAATCTCTCATAATTTCCCAAATCTAAGTCAACTTCTCCACCATCATTCAATACAAAAACTTCACCTGAAAAAAGAAAGTGGAAACACACAGAAAAGCAATAAAATGATCAGAAATTATTAAACAGACAGCAGGAATACCATAAACTTATCTTAAAATTGAGGAAATGTTTTTTTAAATGACACACCACAATGACATATCAATAAAGCACATGCTGCAACTCAATCTGCATTGTCATTCTGTGTGACTTAATAATTAACACTTAATAAGACTTAATATCCAAGTCATTTCTTTTACATTGAATGCCTCTCCCTCAGTCACGTACAGATTTGCAAATAAATTTGTTATATTGCCAAAATATTTAAGTGACTTAAAAATATTTAACCGGCATTTCAACAGCATAATACAATCAATTAGAAGAAAACAATCTCCAGGAATCATAAATCAGCAACAAATAAAATGTTAATTTACATGTGGCAGCCCCAAACTATGCTTTTATAAGCATTAATTATTACACGTTTGAAATGTTTCATTATAAATTCGTATTGTTGATCTTAATGATTAAGGCTTGGATCAGGAGTAAAGTTACGATGAACATAAATGCTTCTTCAAAAGCGATCAGTTTCTTGTTTGGTTGTTTCATCTTGTACGTTTGGGTCACTATGTGCCCAGCCAGGGTTATTTCCGACCCTGAAAAATCTAATGAAAATATCCTTCAGATCCAGACTTTTCTTAGGCCTCTAAAGAGTCTCTAAATTCTTAATCTAGTCAACTTCTGAAGGAAGTACAGTTGCTAGATCTTGAGGTAAGGCTGGAAAGGCTCTTCAGAAAAATCATAAAATGGCCCAGTGAAACCACAGTTAAACAAGTTACAGGACTAATGCACAATTTAAAAAAAAAGAAAAAAAAACAATCCCCCTGAAGGTATAGTGGGGACTACGGAAACATGTATCACAGCAAGATAAAACAGTCCAATTAACAAAACCACCACAACGTATAGAACAGAGTGGAAGATTTATGCCTGATCCTGTGAGGCACTGAGTACCTCCTCTCTGCTAAGTTATGATTTAAGCCAAAAAACAGAGTGGAACCATCATTTCTCATAAGCAGGCCTCGGAAGAATAAATAAATACATTATTAAAAAAAACTTTTTAGTAAACCGGAAATCACCAAATTAAAATCCTTTGACTCAATCATATTTCTGCCAAACTGTTATCAAAAGAGGCGTGCCATTCTGGCTTGTGTGAATTTGTACTTACTACCCAGCCAGCCAGTGTTTCTTCGCAAGCAGTAGGAAACTCTTCAGCAAACAGAGGAAAAAAAAAACCTGTGTTGGAATTACATGCTGTAGTATGCCCTGTACCTGATCCAGGGAAGGAATACATCTTCACCATCTCAAGTCATGGCAGGAATCTTACCAGCAAAGGCAAAGGTATAACTTCCCTGGTCAACTGCCTAAGGAGCACCAGATACATTTCTGAAAGTGTAGGACTACTGGATTAATTTCTGAGAGAGGTCTGATGTGCTGTGCCCTTCCTCCACTTAAAAAGAAAAGTGGTCTTTTTTCAATTCAGGAGATAAACATGCTTATTTCCAGTTCCAATAATTTTGGTCTAGACTGGAAGTAAGCAGACAAAATCTGACAAATAAAAAGAATAAGAAATGTCTATTAGCTGAAGGTACATTGGAACTTTGAAAACCATTGTTTTCAAATAAGACAGACAGCTGAAGGAACATTCAAAATTATAAATGCATGTCTGACTGTCTTCTGGCTCATCAGCAATGTAATCAATACAACCAAAGTAGCTTAAAGCCTTAACCAACCAAACTAAGCATCTACTTTAAAATGATATCACTAATTGGCTCTCTAAGCTTCACCGATGGTTTTGACTTGATACTCATTGTCTAAAATGGGAACTTAATCTCATGAAGACACACTAGAGGTATTAACTGACATCCAGTTAGCAGCATTCACAAGTAACCATCGAGAAGTTTCAAAAAAGTTTTATAGTACTATTCCTTTTTCTTTTTTTTAGATCAAGTTGAACTGATGATAGCATTGACTGAACAAGGCCTAGAGCTAGGATTTTTCACAACAAAGTGGTACTTTATAGGAAGGAAGCATCTATTCATAAAACTATCTTCACCAAACAGGCTCCTCTTCTCCTTACTTAGAGAAGACAATACCCTTGAGAACACATAGTGAGGCGCAAACTTGCATTGCCAAATACATTATAAAATTAATAACAACTAATATACTATTGTTCTTAAAAAACAAACAAAAAAACCCCAAACCCACCCCAAACCAAAACACCCCATCACATTACTGTAAATATAAATATTTATGCAAAAGAGAACAGCACTGTCCTTCATACCATGTTCATATGGTGAAAAGGTTCCAGCATCTATGTTTATGTAAGGATCAATTTTGATTGCAGTGACCCGTAGACCGCATGATTTCAGGATGGTGCCAATGCTGCTTGCAATGATCCCTTTGCCAATGCCTGAGATGACACCACCAGTTACCAGGATGTACTTCATCAGAAAATCAGCACAAGCACACCAATCGCAAGCTGGAAATCTAAAATGACAAAGATGTATCTCTGATGAATGCAAATTCATGCCAGGGAAGAACACAGCCTCAGTATGCAAAGAATCTAAGCTGAAACGACCTTCAGAAACAGAAAACAAAACTGCTATTTTGGAATCTGGGAGTAAGATTTATCTCTCCCAGCTGATACACTGACACACAAACTGAGCACCTAAACCCACTCCGCAGTCAATGGAAAAACAGATACCATTTTGATACACTGCCCTGTGGAGGTGTCAAAGAGGCACAGCTCATCCAGCCTATTCCTCTCCTGTGACAGGAAAAGCCAGCTAACTTTTAAAACCACACGTTAGGCAAGAGGAATCTTACCCTGGATTCTTTCTAATTAAAGAAGTTAATCATTTCACATGTGTTTTGAGAAGCTAGCTCAAAGATTGTTACATTAGCCAGAACACTCACATTCTCCACCCAGTAGCTTTACCTTCAAAAATAGTGACTGTAGCTTCAAATATTTATTAAAATCAGAATGTTACACCATCCACTCCATTTTTCAGCAGTGTTTGCTTCTGCAGCTTACAGCGTATCAGGTATTTCACCAAAAGTCATACAATATCCTACAGATCAATAAAGCATCAGACCAGGAAAGAAAAACTGAACCAAAATGTCCATATTAAATATGGACATAATACACTATAGTATATATTTTTATATATATATATATATACACTACATAATATACTATAGTACATTACTGACCAAAAGCCTCAAGCCCTTTCTTCGCATGCCTATCTATTCTCCCTCTCCAGGTAATCACTGCGAGAGGCAAAAAAATCAGAAAAAGGATCACCTAGCATCCCTGGACTATGATGCAGAGTAAGAGTTGATGCTGTTCTCAAAAACAACATTATCATAGAATCATAGAATCATCTAGGTTGGAAAAGACCCTTGGGATCATCGAGTCCAACCATCTCCCCTCCTCTACAAAGTACTTCCCTACACCATACCCCCCAACACTGCATCTAAACGACTCTTAAACACATTCAGGGATGGTGACTCAACCACCTCCCTGGGCAGCCTATTCCAGTGTCTGACCACTCTTTTTGTGAAGAATTGTCTCCTAATGTCCAGCCTAAACTTACCCTGGTGCAGCTTAAATCCATCCCCTCTTGTTCTATCGCTAACTGTTTGTGAGAAGAGACCAGCACCAATCTCTCTACAATGTCCTTTCAAGTAGTGTAGAGGGTGATGAGGTCACCCCTCAGTCTCCTCTTCCTCAAATTAAACAGTCCCAGCTCCCTCAATTGTTCTTCGTACGATTTATTCTCCAGGCCCTTCACCAGCTTCATTGCCTTCCTCTGTACCCACTCCAGCACCTCGATATCTCTCTTGTATTGAGGTGCCCAGAACTGGACACAATACTCCAGGTGTGGCCTCACCAGTGCCGAGTACAGGGGCATAATCACCTCCCTACTTCTGCTGGTCACACTATTTCTAATACAAGCCAGAATGCCATTGGCCTTCTTGGCCACCTGGGCACACTGCTGGCTCATATTCAGCCGCTTGTCAATTAGGACCCCCAAGTCCTTTTCCTCCAGGCAGCTCCAGCCACACTTCCCCAAGCCTGTACTGATGCACGGGGTTGTTGTGGCCCAAGTGCAGGACCTGGCACTTGGTCTTGTTGAAGCTCATACCATTAATGTTGGCCCATTGAGCCAACCTATCTAAGTCTCTCGACTGTGTATCTGTTTAAAGATTCAGATTTAGAGAAACATCTGATGTTATGACACACATTAGCATCATGAATTCAGAAGGGCAATCCTGAATATAAATATAAATATATATTTATATAATATGAATATAAATCCTGAATCAGCTCTGAGAGATCTGGCATGTGGCCTTCAACATGGCCAATTTATCAGGCTCTGTTTCCCTGTCTAGACTACGAAATAAATGATTCTTCACAAGAAGGAAATGCAATTATGAGTACTCACAAACACTATATGTTGAAGACATAGACATGATAGATAATGCATATTATGGTGATAACACATTATATTTCTAGTTAATGCATATTATGGTGATAACACATTATATTTCACAGTGCTCTACAATACTGCTAGCATGAACAACAATGGCTATTCAGATACAGAAACTTCCTCTTTTGAAAATGTCATTGTTTATAAAAAGGCTGGATAACTAAAATTAGGAAGAAAAAAAAAAAGAAGCACCTCCTATGAACTAAGAGATGCAACTATACCAGGCAAAGCATACGATTCGGGTGGGGATGAAATAATAGATACTAATATATCTATGCCACCCTGCACAGTGTATGAGTATGAATATGGGATTCAGAACTATTGAAACAAATCATGAGACACTCCCACACCCTAAAAACTCTGAAATATTCTATCCTAATTCAAAATTCTTCATCACCCTTTCTGTTGCTATAATCTGCTGTTTTCACCAACTTCTGTTGATGTTGTCCCTGCAATTCTCCCACTTCCCCTGGCTGTCACAGAAGCATAGCTTTTGCCACCGTTTCTCCACCCCATTTGAAACAGGATGATGCTGTGTGGATCTCATCCAAAATTCCAGTCGCATTCAGGCAGCTGTGGAGGCTAATGACTGGAGCAATTTTGGAACAATGACAGTATGGCTCATCGCAGAGCAAAAATTCTAGGGTCAAGAATATCTTTCCATACAGAAGTACCTAATTTGCTCAAAGCAACATGCAACAGCACACAATCTAAAAGCACTCAGGATGAATCAAAGCAGTATGGTTCTTCAAACACTGACAGTGAGCAGCAGCTGGTGGACAAATGCTTCTTACTATACTCAAGTAACATAAACAAGGCCTGGATCTTCAGGAGGCAGAGTTCAGGAATGTAACAATGCTTGTCATTGGTTCTTTTATGATTTAGGAATTAATAAACTGTTGTTTCCTTGCCAATATAGACAAAAGACCACAACCATCAAAAGTATTTAAATTGGAAGAAAAGGATCACCAGGAATTAACTTTTCCCTGCTATTTATTTTTAACATGTAAATTATTTTTTTTTTTAAATAGCTTAGATTTTAAGATTTGGAGGCTATCTCCTGTCTTTCAGGCTCATCCTTCATAAATCAGCTAATGTAGTTGTAAACACTAACATAATCATCTAAGTCATTTTCAAAGCTACACCCAGA